AGGTACTAACAAATTCGGATTTCGTCCATCAAATGACATGACGAGTTTTTGTCTCGTTAACCTGAAAATGTTTGCTAGGATGGTACGAACGAAAGCTTTGCATGTTTTCACCGCAATCGAAGGAGATTACCGCGCAAACAGCGTCAACAAGAATGCTCCAATCGACAGCTGGACAAGAGGAATGCGCCGTCGTCTCCTGTTGAAATCGGCCTTCGAATCACTTCAGCAAATACCTCCACTCGAAAGGGAAGTCGGCTCAAGAATGATGTATGCCTTAAGGAAAGATTGAAGGAAAGAGAGGATGCTGATTCGCCATCCAAAATAAGACAACTTGTCAGCTCAATGATATATTAGTTGTATTCAGCCTATTTTGTTTAAGGTGACGAAGGACCGGAAATAATAGCTATTTTAATGTCATCGTGGGAAAAATCAACTACCAGACCTACATAACCTTGCACGAAATAGGGTGAACACAACCAATATATCTTGACTAGTTGGCGTGAATTTTGTTGTGACGATGGTACCTCGCTCTGATGATGTCCGTCATGTGACGTACGAAAGCTTAGCACCTTTTCACCGGAATTGAAGGAGATTGCCTCGGAAACAGCGTCAGCATGAATGTTCCAGTAAAGCCAATCGACCACTGGTCAAGAGAAATCCGCCGTCGTCTTCTGGTGGAACCGACCTTCGAATCTCTTCAGCCAACACTTCCACTCGAAATGGAATTAAGCTCAACAGCTTTTCTAATTTGATTGTGGGAAAAATCAACTATCAGACCTGCATCACCTTACATGAAATAGGGTGAACACAACCAATATATCTGATTTACTGGCAGTCTTGAAGACCTACTCACTTACGAAAAACGCTCAGTGATAATTCCCACTAAATTCACACTCAATAAGCAGGCATGTTAAGCCCATTAACCAGATCCGACGTATGGAAATAGGCGATCTCAATCATGCTTTTCCTTGGGTCATTAAACCTTAATGACCCTAGACTAACGAGTTCTGACTGCTGCTTTCATAACCTGAATCTCCCGCATACATGCCTACATCGCATCAATTCAACGACAGTTACTTACGGACTAAAGCACTTTTGGTCATGCTTTTTTTCTTGGGTCATCAAGCCTTCATGACCCGCGGTTGAAGTTATTCTTTTTATAACTACTCAGACTTGTGACAGATTTTGCGTACAAATGCTAACAAGCCTACACGCCGAAACACATGTACACACACACACACACATATTTATTTATTTATTTATATATACAAGCACACACACGCACATTAGAGTATAATATATTAGCCAAGTCTTTCTATATCAGTCCATGTATAAATATATTTTCGTTAAAAATATACACACCATAAAGGACAGAGCCAGTTAGTACTCTTGACTTTTTGTTGACTTGAGACATGATCCTGAATGATTCC